ACAAGGGTTAAAGTTTCTCGTCCAGCTAAGGCTGTCCTGCTTGAGTTGTTAATGTCTCTAAATCCAAATTCTTTTCTTTTTGTTGCATAATCGCATTTTGTCTCTCCTTCACTCGCTATCTGTCTTATCCTGTTGCCTCCTATACTTTGCAGATGCATGAACTTTTGAAATAGCACATTATTAATTGTTGTTGCTGCACAAGGTCCCTTCACTCATGGAGTCCCTGTTGGTGATTCAAGCATGGAGTTCAGCTTTAACAACCATATGGAAGTGCATTTGGGTTTGTCAGATTAGCGCCTTTTGTGCATATGGAAATCTCAGTAATCTGCAATATTCAGCTTCTTGAGCTCCAATTACATAGATATTATGGCAATCCTCCTTCCTGGCGTGTCCTGCCACGTGATTTGACTGCACCTCTTGTGATGGGCGTCATCCGCTTGTTCTACAGCCATGAACATCGACAGGTGCCCTGCAGGCTGCAGGTAAGTTCATTTCGATTCCCATCTTCCTACTCTGTCTTCGGTACTTCAGATGTATCCCCAGATTGAGCAGTTTAATTGTTGTCTGCTTACTGTATTGTCAGGAGATAGTGGTGTTAGAGACTAGTGATTAGTTGGAGAAGTGTAGTTGTAGAGGTTCCAGGTTCCTCTGGATTTTCCTTTCCATGGTGCATTACTGTCAGGAACAGAATGGAAGCCCATACATAATATTTTTGTTTCTCACAGACTCACACTCACAGTTCATGGAAAAAAAAGGGAGATTCTTTTTTCTCTGATCAAAATTGCAGTAGGCACTAGCTAAGGTTGTGTGGAGTATAGCATTAGAATTGTGAAACAAGCGATCAACTTTAATGTTCAGCTTATACATATTTGCAGATCAGTGTGGTTGATACCTTCTCCTTTTTCCAGGTGGAGCAGCAGGTCATCTTGAGGAGCGTTCCAGCGACACAACAGGGGGCTGAAGCTGAGGGACTTCAGGAAGATGGAGCAGTTCATTTGCCCATCAACTTTAATAGTTTATTTTTAGTCGTTCTATCATCCTAGTTGGACATTGTATTCATAATTAAGCTTCTTTATATTGTTTTTTTTTTGTGTTACATGCAAATGGTTTGGTGGAAGCAATGCACGATTTCAGATAAATAAAGTATGGTCACTTTTGGTAGTGAAGAGATCATATTCCGTTTGTATTTTTTTTAGTTATCTGTCTAGACTAGAATTGGTGGATGGAGTTGAACTTGCGATGCATGTATTAGCTTGTTTGGATATTATTAGATGGTACCTGAATCAAAATTTTTTTGATTATTTTAGATAATTTATTATTCTACAATGTTAACGCAGGGCTTATCACATTGCTTTGTTACATCACGTGTATCTTGTGTGTGTGTGTGTGTTTTGAATTTTACAATATTTTTATCAAAACATATTACCATATATCCCCATGATATTGTCAAAAACGAAAAAAATTCTCTGCGGCGGTGCCGCACGTCGCGACACCGCCCAGATTCCTGCCACGTGTTCCAAATTCCAATCCAGGTCGCTGGTTCCAAATCTCGGCCCAACACACGTCGTAGGTCCCAATCTCAATCTTCTCGGCCCAACCCAGGTCGCAGGGGACGCTCCTGCGCGTGGTTCCTCCGGGACACGCGTTGAGAATCTGGGCGGTGTATGGCCACGTGTACGACGAATAGACGGTGCTGTACGCGAGTGGAACTGCGGCTCGAGCGCAGAGAATTTCTTTCCGTCAAAAACAACCTCACGATGTGGGGGAAAAAAAACACAGCGGCAGCAGAATGAGGCCGAGAGTAGCGTAGGAGCGCGGTCGGACTGCCTCTTAGGGCCGATTGGAGAAGCGAGAGGAGAGTGGAGATCGGCCCATGAGGAGAGCTGGGCTGAACGGCCTGCTAGTCATGGCTGCTATGCGGGCTGAGCCAGGGTCTGGAAAGAAAAGAGGAGGGTCGGGTGGGCTGGTTGGGCTAGAACTGGCCTGTGGCTTACTGGGTTTTTGGGTGCCCTTTTTCTTTTTTCGAACATGGGGTTTTGTAAGAAGTTCAACTCCAACTATATAAAATAAATAGTAAAAAACGAGAATCCAAAGCACTGCATGCTTGCTAACATTACATGAATGCACAAGATTAGATTAGAACTTGATTTTGAAGGGGATGAGAGATAGAGTTCAGGTTTGTACGTGTTTAGAAAAAGGAAAACATGTTTCAATTGGACTAGTTGAATTCGGGCGCTCTCATTTTTTTGGGGGGGAAGCCATTCGTTTCGAGACATGCATGGCCTTTGTCATGTCTTCGATCTTGTCAAAATATAACAAGGCATTTTTCATTTCAAAAGTTTTCATGTTGGAATTTTGAGATTTAGGTAAGAACGAAAAGGGTTTAGAGCAGGTGTAGGTTCGATGTAATATTACATGCAACACACAAAATGTTTGTTTTTTTTTAAAAAAATGGTATTTTTATAGTCCCTCCGTTCTACTTTAAATCATCTTTCTTATAGTAAGAACTTTTGGGATGTCTTTGATTAATATATATTCCTCGGTGAGGTTAGAGAAATTGCTGCCCCTTCCCATCCCATTCCACCACCAACGGCAAAAAACAAGGCTGTGTGCCCGCTGGGCCGCCATACGTGTGTCCCAAGAACTAGAAGTCCAAATCAAAGGTGAGGAGGAGATAAGAGAAAGCGAGAAATCTGATTGCTTCCAGCCCGCTAAACTAATACAGAGGCTGTTCGGCTGGCTTATTGCCTGCTGGTTGGCTGGCTTATTCTCTCACGAAATCATTGTTCACGTCATGCCAGAACAATATTTTTCTCTCACAACAATCAGCCGGAACAGTATTTTGCAGTCCTGCCGAACAGGCCCACAATCCGCCACTTGCGTGCAGAAGCATCAAGCATGCATGACAGTAAAGGAGAGGAAATTGTGGCAAAGGAAGATGAGAAAGGGGTAGCGTAGCTTAGTGTTGCGCCGCTGGTCACTGGAGAGACGACGACTGAGGAGGAGACACAAAAACGATGGCAAAAGGATTGGTTGTGCTGGTTTCTATTTGGAGAGATAGCGACAGGTTAGGACTAAGGAGAGGCCAGGCAGCGATGAAGGAATCGAACCATCAAGGAATTGGTATAGATCGTGCTGCGTTTTGGCGATAGCGACAGCCGTCAGCCGACAAAGCAGAGGTTTGTTTGTGCTCATCCTTGGGATAGACGCGACTTATTTCGCTAGGAGAAATAAACGATGGAAAATTAAAGAAAGATGAGAAACGAATCGGATACATTATTTGTTATAGTTATGGTCTTTGGGAGGGAGGGAGGAAGGAAGGAATATAGAATATCATATCAAAGAAAAAAAAGTTGCATAACTGTTGGCTTTGCCTTTGTGGTCTGAGGAATGGTACGTACCAATAGGAGAATTCATTGGTTGTATACGTGCTGAAGGAAGGAATATAGAATATCATATCAAAGAAAAAAAGTTGCATAACTGTTGGCTTTGCCTTTGTGGTCTGAGGAATGGTACGTACCATTGGAGAATTCATTGGTTGTATACGTGCTGAAGGAAGGAATATAGAATATCATGTCAAAGAAAAAAAAGTTGCATAATTGTTGGCTTTGCCTTTGTGGTATGAGGAATGGTACGTACCAATAGGAGAATTGATTGGTTGTATACGTGCTGAAGGAAGGAATATAGAATATCATATCAAAGAAAAAAAAGTTGCATAATTGTTGGCTTTGCCTTTGTGGTCTGAGGAATGGTACGTACCAATAGGAGAATTCATTCGTTGTATACGTGCTAATAAAAAGTTGGAATTGTTTGGTGCTGTTACAAATTATCGGGGAATGGTAATAGAAATTATTGAGTAATTGTGGCACTTTTTATTTACTATTATATAAAATATAATGCATAATTCCTTTGGAAAATTGTGTATGATTGGCTCAAGTTTATTAGTAGGCTAGCGCCTAGCAGGACTGTATAAACTGGGTTCTACCTTCTGACACGGAGGATATATACTAGTTTCGTGAGCTATTTATAAGAGAAGCAAATAAGCGAGTGCTCTGCTAACTACTATCTAGCATTCACATACGTCAGTTTCTATTTTCCTCTAGAAATATTCATTTTGTGAGGTTGGAGTGGACATCAAAATGCCGATTTTCCTGCTAGACTAGACTCCCAGCAGCTTCCTCCCCAGCGCGCAGGATGTCAATCGCGGCGCGGGTGGGCCCGTCCTGCGGTGATCAAGAACCCGGGCCCGGGGCGTTCTGTCCCGATTCCCACGGGCCACGACGCTGCCGCGCATGAGCATGCGACCGACCTCAGCATATTCGTTTCTTATCAAACCGGTCAGCACTGCTTTCAACCACGGGGGCTTATAAGCAGATTCAGCCGAAACGAACAGCCTGCTCTATATATGTCCGCATGCAGAGCACGACCAAAACCCAAGCTTTCCTTTCCTCTCTGCCTTGCTCTGCTCTGCTTCGTTCTCTGCCGCTCCGCTTCGCACGCCTCAAGGGATCAAGCATCCATCCATCGATCTGCTACGGTAACAAATCTCTTCCGTTTCTTTGCTGCTGTGTGCTGTGTGTGTTACATGGGCGACGCAGTTTGGTTGGGATTCTTGGTGGGGTTTCTCGTTTGTTTCATTCCCCTCCCCCGCGTTCGTTCGAGCTCTGCTGCTAGCCACACGCGGGATCTTGCTATTCATTCCCCTCATCTCGTAATGGCCTTCTCGTTGGTTTCATGTGAACGCACAAGTTTGCCCTTGGATCTCTCCTGCTCTCCATGTTCTTCTCCAATCTCCACCAAGCACAGACAGAAGGCAGCAATGATGTACCCAAGCTTCAGTCCAAGTCCATAGCAACCAGGCCATCCTTCCTCCTTTCTCCTCCAATCGGCAGCCAATAGCAGCATCCTTCGTGTCTCCTTCAGGAAATTTCCCCGATTTTTCTTGGCTAAGCCAAATTGCAGCACGACTGCACGAGCATGAAATCCTCAACGACCCACGCATGGCCACAACCGCGCCCGCGGCCCGCCTCCGCTTTCCGATCGCGGTGTGCTGCTGGGCGGGGACGAGGCAGGCCCCGCTGTCGCTGAGAGCGACGCAGGCGGAAGGCCGCGGAGAGGAACTGCGAGAACGCAGCGTCCAGAGACTGAGACAGTTTAAGGAGAGCTAATTCCTGTAGCAGAAAACTGTAGACGATCCCCGATGGCAAATTTGCTCGCACTCACATGTCACATGCCAAGTGGCCCCGCGTTCTAACTTAAGGGAGGCGATTCTAGCATGCTGACTGCTTTTAACTCGTTTTTTGATGTGATTCAGTTCAGGCGCCGAATAAGATGAACTCTGCTACACTTGGGCTGTGCGTCGTCGCAATCGCCGTCCCCCTCACCACATCCGTCGACTCCCTGGAACAAGATCCCCTCATGATGTGCTTCGCTCTAGCACTGTGCGTGGCTTTCCACCGCGGCATCGCGCTCATCGTCCGTGGCGTGCGCCGGCGTGGACTAGCCACCACCGTGTCTGGCCCCACCTAGGCAGATAGTGCTCCTCCGGTGCCTAAGCTGGCTTTGGCATGTGGAGTTCTTTTGAGTTAACCGTCTAATTAGCGTTCACTATGTCCGTGTCAATGCTGATTTGACAGCTAATCACAAGAGAATTCCACTTTCCAAAGCCATCTTAGACACTAGCAGAGCACTGCCTTCCCGGGTGTGAAACCTTCGGCGAATTAGAGATGGACAAACTACTAAGGGCTTGTTCGTTTGGAGTCGTTACTGTCTGGAAGGATTGCTGCTAAAGTCTGCTACATACAATTTAAATAAACATTTCTGGTCGGAACGGTTTCGGGACGTCAATCCCCGGGAATCGAACAGGCCCTAATGTAGTTGTGTTATTGTCACACACTGTTTTCTACCTTGTCCTTTTTTGTAACCGTTGTTTGTGATGAATTGATGATGTTCACCTCGTTTGTTTGAATCTTTCGCTCTGCTGATAAAAAAATAAGGTACTATTATCCTAAGACATTTTTACATGTATGAGCTGATGGATGGCAGGGGTGGATCCACAGTGTTAGCAGTGCTGTCACCTGACAGCAATAACGTATGTAAACTCAATGGAAAATTACTATGCAAACTAAAGAATTCCACCTGCCAAAGCCACCTTAGGCACCGGAGGAGCACTGTCTGCCTAGATGGGGCGCGGCTCATCTGCACTCAAGTCATAATCCGCTCAGACAACATCCACGTGTGGCTGGCGGCTGGGAGGCTAGGCCACGCCAGAGACGGTGGTGGCTAGGCCACGCCGGCGTTCGGGGCGGGCCGCGGGCTCAGCACCGGCGCACGCCGCGGACGATGAGGGCGGTGCCGCTGTGGAAGGCCACACACAGTGCTAGAACAAAGCACATCATGAGGGGATCTCGTTCTAGGGACAGAGAGTCGACCGCCGTGGTGAGGGGGACGGCGAAAGCGACCACCATGGAGGCGACGCACAGGCCAATTACAGCAGAGTTCATCTTCTTCCGCACCTGTACTGAATTCCGCATCAAAAACGAGTAAAAAGCAGTCAGCATGCTAGAATCGCCTCCCTTTGATAAACAAAAATAGTATTAATTTTTGCAGAATCCAGAAAGAAGATTATGACAGGCAATGATCAAGATTGGATACTAATGCAGGAAAAAAAAAACAAAAAGATATGACGCTAGAATGCTTTTTCGTTCCCTGATTAGAATTGATTCACCCACTTCTCCTTAACCTCGCCGTTACACTGCTGTAACGACGAGGTTGGCATCGATCTGCAGCTGAGTTGCAGGGATCACAAAAAGGGTGAATTGGTTGGTGCTTGCGTGCCTGATGAAGGAAACAAGAAGGGTGCTGCTATGGCTGCCGATTGGAGGAGGAAGGGGGACCTGGTTGCTGTGGACAGGACATGGATTGAAGCTGGCGGATTGCATTGGAACGTGGGAGAGCAAGATGCTGCTGCCTTGTGTGCTTATATTGGAGACGAAGATGGAGACGAAGAACATAGAGAGCATTCCCCAAGAACCCCAAAACTGCGTCACCGAGAAGGCGAGGACACGCCCATGTATGTAACCCAGCACACCGCAGCAAAAAAGCTCATGCACCCAACCCAAGAAGAGATTTGTTACCCGTAGCGAATCGATGGATGGATCCTTGATTCCTTGAGGCGTTCGAACTGGAGGGCGCGGCGGAGAGCGAAGCAGAGTACTACTAGAGCAGAGCAGGCGGGAAGCTGGAAGCGACGGGATTGGGTTTTTGGTTCGTCTTCCGCCCACGCCCATACATATTTATATGGTAACTAGCGTGGGCGTGGCAGGTTTCCCCCTCGGGTCGGGTTACACCCGCCCATCATGTTCTCCCGGCTCTACGAGTAGGAGGGAAGTCAGTAGCCGGTGGGCCACCGCACATGCGAGACCAATGCCCTGTTCGAGGCTAGCGGGGAAAACAGCTGATCTTGATGTTGATTTGTTATGAGAGAAAACACTATTATTTCGTTCAAAGCAGTGCGGCTATGTTCAAGCGAACATGCACAAAGCTACGCTGACTTTGCCGACCGTGACTTTGGGAGCTGTGAACGGTGAGAAGCTTAGGCCCTCCACTCCACTAATGGATAGTCCCGAACTAACAATTAGCTAACTAACAATTAGTCGGGTGCCTATATAGAACCTAGACTAATTGTTAGTCCAAACTACAGTGAAAAGTCTATCTACCCCTGACTAATTATTAGTCCGTACATGTTTGGATCCAGAACTAATTGTTAGTCCAGGTAGCGGGGTACGAAAGTCTTTTTGCTTGTCGGTGGAATTGTTAGTCCATGTTAGCAAGGTGGGATGGACTAACAGGAAAACAATTAGTTCCTTGGTGGACTAAAAATTAATCCCTCTATTAATCCACCTGTTTGGAGGAACTAGGACTATTTTTTAGTCAACTAACAATTAGTTCGGTGGATCAAACAGGGCCTTAGCTGAATTTGGTCTTTTAGATTAACTTAATATTATTAATGATACATAAAGACAAAATTAATTTTAGTATTTTCATAATTTAGTTTAAACCTAACATATTTGTTGTCCTAAATTATTTTGACACTTTAATTATTTGTTTACTGATGTAAATTATTTTATATAATTTAAATTTCATGATAAATATTGTATATATATCTATATATATACCTAATATTAAAGAGACAAAATTTCTCTCCACCATTTTTTTTGGTCCGCTCTCCCTAACTAACTCTATGAGCGTGGAAACTGTCTAGAAGTCTCCCGTTTATATGACATATGCACATAGATAATAAGGTAACCTAGATAGCTACGAATACTAATCCAAATAGATCCCTTCGATCCTAGACAACCTGAATAGGAATCCTACTTCAAATAGAAAATGATATAAAAATAAAAATAGACAAATCTACCTATTTGACATCTAAATTTGGACTTTGGCAAGCAAGGGAGCACATGAGAAGAAGCTATAAAATTATCTCGACTCTCAGAGATGCCATACGTAAAGAAATAATAAATAGAAGCCGAGTATATGATCCCCATGAGCCATGACGTGATCAAATATGAATTTTGGACGATCACGAAAAAGAAGCTGTTGAACCAGCGTACGTATGCAAGCAATTTTAGCCGCCGGTAATTTAACCATGCATGGTATAACATGCAGGAGAAGATACACAAGCACGCAGGATACGATAAAAAGAGGAAAATCCAAGAGAATCGATAATTTAACCATGCATGCAAGTTCGTTTGTGACATGCATCTACGTAAACATGAGCACTAACGTGTTCTTTTGTGACTCACTGGCCGGACCGAAGCCACATTAAATAGATATGTTTCTATTTGGCTCGGGCAGTTTTGAAATTTATATGTAAAGAAAAAGGCCGGCCATCCCATATAAATATAAAAGATGACGTCCGATCGAGGATCCAACATTCAATCATTGAAAAACACATCTATTATTTTATTATCTTCTACCTCAAACTCCTTCAACGACTTGTTGTCCTGCTTCTCTCTCGACGAGGTTCATCGGCGTTCTACATGGCTTTACCGATACTATAACAACCTCACCGAGTGGCTCCCCGCCGGGGCTCCCGAGAGGTGTTCATGCGTTTATCAGCCGAAGAACGAGCATCTAATCAGGCTCGTCGACTTGCTGGTCGGCCTCGCCACAAGGATCTTCCTCTGCAACGTGCTAGGCCGTGTGCGGCCTCTAGGCGATCTAGCCCCTACTGGTGTGTGACCCAAATCGGTGTCAACACTGCCTTAACTTATTCATCGTAATATTAAACCACCAAGAGCTTTCTATGTTCTGGCTTAAATATTAAGTCATAGAGAATTTTTAAATTCATCCAATAAGACCTGACTGCTACCTTTTGTGCCATTGCCGATTGGACTACGTTAGTTTTTTCTTACCATCGTGACCTAATTTAGAGTCCGATCTCAAAACGTACTGTGGAACACACTCTCTGTATATATGACATGTGTTTATATGAATATAAGGACAACTCGCGTGTAGCGATGACATGGAGTCTGAATCCTATACGTATTAAGTCTCGTTGCAACGCACGAGCACATTTGCTAATAAATAAATAATGATTGATTAACTAATATATTTAATTATTTAAATTTTGATAACATTTTTATTTTTTATGAGCGGTCGGGGAAGCTGCCAGGAAGACTGCGCAGCTATTTTGACTTTTTGATGTGGCGATGGATTTCCTTCTGTTTTTTATGCAGGGACCACGCCTTGTTCGACTGGGGCTGGCTGGTTGGGCTGGCTAGCCAGCCCTCTCACATGGGCACTTATTCACATGAACTAGCCAACAATGATATTTTCTCCTACATAAATGAACCAAACAACGATCTGAACCAGCTAAATCAAGAACAGTGCTGCAAGCCGAGCCGTTTTCCGTTGTTTAGCCCATGAGTTTATTAGCTGTTCCATCGAAATAAGGTAAACATGAGCTACGCGTTGGTTCAAGGGAAGCTGCAAGGAAAGTTCTAAAGATTTGTGAATTGTGTGAACAAGCGAGATAATTCCAGCTCAACTTTGGCGAAATTTGTATGTAGAGTTTATTTTTAGAATAATTTGTATGCAGAGTTGAGGCTTTTAGATAGTACTAGTGAAAATGCACGTGTGACACACACGTATCTATAAAAAGAATCATATATAATAATAATATTTGACTTAGATCTTGTAATAAACATACATGCTAATACAACTTATCAAACCACAAATTTATTAATCCCTAAAAAAGCCGAATATTTATTAACAGTCTCATCTATCAAATCATGGTACAATGAATAGTCCAAATTCACATCAATTGCCGTCAATTATAATCATGAACATTTTTATTTTTGATCTTTCTTTCTTAATGTAATGCAAACCATTGAGCCAACATAACACATAGAGTCGTTATGGGAGAGACCATAACCATAACCAGAACCACTACGACAACCACAACCAGCAATATCTTCACTGAAGCCATTGCTCCACTTTCCCACATACACCATGAAGACTACGAGCTCAAGAGCGCTCTGAGTTCGTCCATCCTTAGTACTAATCCTTCACTACCGTTGTATTACTCCACCACCGTTGTAAATTAGAGAATAAAGAAAGTCCTCGTGACATTTCTACGCTTGTAAGGTAATCCCTAAGGTTTGTGCTAAGTGCTTGGGGTTTCACGAAAGGGATAGCTGTATGTAAGCTTGCTCTATGAAAATAAATTAAGCTTTCCTATTTTAATCCTTGTCTTCCTTTAAGCTCGTTCATATGGGACGATGTCTCTATGCTAGGGACCCAAGAGGAGAAATCTCTGCGTGTGTTGTTCTCGTGTTAGCCACGATAGTGGCATTTGTAGAGGAGACGATAGAGTCTCGAGTCCTATGTGTGCGCGTGGCTAGGGATAGCAAAAGAGAAGACCGGATTAGCTTCGGGTTCAAGCGAGCTAGTGATGCATACGAGTGAGTACCGAGTATGATTGACACAAGCATAGTCACGATCGATCATTGAAGCTTTGGTCCCATCACCTACAAAAGATCCCGAGAATTACATGCATACTCATAATCCACGTATACCTAATCACGCACGCATCCTGCATCCACCATAAGTGCTCCAAATAGTGCTTGAATAGTGAGAAAATTTAGGTGCCTGAGCCACTCCCGGGTGAGTGCTCGTGCACTATTTATATTCCAAATTTAAATAGTAGCAAGTATTTTGAATAGTGCCACGAATTTGAATAGTATTGTGAATAGTAACTCAAAAATTTTAAATTTGACTTTTGAGTTCTAGTTTGTTGCAGCAGTTTCCAGTGTTATCGACCCTCAGGAAAAATACAACCAAAAAACCATCTGGCAATATAGAGAAAAAACCCATATATGTTATATATAGGGAAAAACATCAGGAATCTATGTATCATATGAAGCAGTTATAGCTCAGCAGATAGGAAAAAAAAGATGGAGGAGTGTCTTGAAAAAAATATATTTAGATATTGATCAAGCCAATGATAATTTGAATATTATCACTACCACAACCCAAGAAGAGAGAGTGTGTGTGTATATATATATAATTTCCTCCTTATAACGATGCTTGTGACAGGTGGAAGTTAGCCACCATGTAGTATTATCTAATTATGCTAGAAATTATATTAAAAATTTAGCTAAATTAGCTGGTCCATTCTATGCAAAATTAAAAAAAAATGGGCAAAAACATTTTAACTCTGAAGATATAAAGTTAGTAAGAACTATTAAAGAAAAGGTCAAAGATTTAAAACCCCTAGAATTACCTTTAGATGATAATTATTTCATTATAGAGACAGATGCACAGAGACATCGCCCCCATCCTGCCTTCCTTAATTAGCCATATCCAAGAAGTGAGACAATAGAAGCTATTCACCCGAAGAGAAGAATTCTGACATGTAGTATGAGTTAGGACGAGGAGCGATACTAAAAACAGGAAAGCTTAATTCATTTTCAGAGAGCTCCCATAATACTAGCATTATACACCATGAATTAAGTGGGAAAGTTTGCCTGGAGGCGGTCTCTAGAAGTTTGGATATGGTGTAATAATTTGAATATTCACTCCTGGAAGGCCACACCCAGATATTGAACATTGGATATGGTCTTTATGTGATAAT